ACTCTGTGTGTGTGTGTGTGTGTGTGTGTGTGTGTGTGTGTGAATAAGGTGGGTGGCAGTTTATGGAGGGCTTTGAATGCTGCCATAAGGGACTAGGATATTGTTTGGTGGGTAATAAGGAGTCACTGGAAAGAGGGATTAGATCAGTGTATTAGGAAAATTAACCTGGCAAGAGTGTATAGGATAAATTTGAGGGAGAAACTGGAAGTAGAGAGGCAATCTAAATAATCCAGATAAAGGGTGAAGACCTGGATTCCATTGCCAAAAATGGTCATTTGTGAGAGAGATTGTGGAGCTAGAGTCAGTAGTACTTGGTAACATTAGATGTATGTGGTTAAAGGAGACATCAAGGAGGTCACTTCCTGGTGTTTGGGAGGGAGAATAACAGTGGTGAAATTATAGGAAAATAATAGGAAAGTGAGCCCTTAGTACAGTGCCTGAGTTCATTTTGGGACGTACTGAGTTTGAGGATCCAACAGGTCACCTAACCGCTCATAATTCTAGCGCATTTAGATCTTTTTTATGGAAACCAGTGAACTAGTTTTGAGACTTACTGAGTGAAGCATGAGCCACTGATGGAAACCATTTCCACTGACCTCACATTTATGATAAGATAAGAATGAAAAATTTAGTTTTTAAGAACTTCATAAGTAACTGTGAATGAATCAAATTCAGCAATTATTGAGCATCTACATTTATTAAGTATCTATTATGAGCAAGGCCACAAGATTGGCTATTACAAACTATTAGGTTCCAGAGTTATTGAGGGGAATGTTTTGTACTTTGTTAGTGCTCTATTTTGAAGACCCACTGGGACACACTCTTGTCTCCGTTTCTACATAACATTGATCTTGGCAAAGTTCAAACCAAGTTCAAATCCAGATGCACCAAGAGAGATGAGTCCTCCTCTCGGCTACTGCTGGCCTGGGACCAGGAGATTACTCCCTACCCTTCTGGACATTAATGTTGCACTGCAAACCCAGACTCTAAAACCAGGATGCCAAGGTGCCTTACTGACCTCTTGAAACTCACAGGATTGAGGTACTGCTCCCTTTAACTAAAAGGAATACAAGGTTGAACAAGCAGCAGTAAAGGGCCAGATAAAGTCAAATAGAACTTTAAACCACCCCCCTACCCAAAAAAATCCTCTCTGTTTCATATGCTGAAAATTCAGTCTTCCATCACTTGATGGGAATCCAAGAAAACAAGTCTTGGGTTCAGGTTTCAAGTAGAAGGGCATAAAGCTACCTATTGTTTTGGACAGATGATAGATGGTTGTTCAATGATGTTTGGTCGTGTCTGACTCTTTGTGACACCATTTGGGGTTTTCTTGGCAAAGATAGTGGAGTGGTTTGCCATTTCCTTCTCCAACTCATTTTACAGATGAGGAAACTAAAGCAAACAAGGCTAAGAGACTTGCCCAGGATCATACAGCTAGGAAGTGTCTGAGGCTGAATTTGAACTCAGGTCTTCCTGACTCCAAGGCTAGCACTCTAACCACTGTCCAACATAGCTGCCAGATGATAGATAGATGGACAGATAGATAGGCACAGATTACAAAGAGAAATTAGATAGAGAGATAATAGAACATGTATTAAACACTATGTGCCTGGCACTATGCTAAGTTAATGGAACTTAATATACTTTTTAGGCAATGTTTGATACGAAAGGACTGCACTTCTGGTCAGAAGAGTTGCCTTGATGATAGTGAAAGAGCATCCCAATCAGTGGTACCAATATCTTTGGCTTTAGGAGAAAGAACAGAAAAGGAAAGAAATGGAATAATGGCTCTAGGGATTATTCTTACATTCATTCATTTAAATATTTAAGTACCTATTGTAGGAAGGACATAAAGAAGTATCATCAAACAGGTTAAATATTAGTTTATAGTACCATAGATTTAAAGCTGGAAGGCACCTTACAGACCATCTAATAAAAACTCTTGATTTTACAAAAGACAAAATTGAGGTAGAAACAAATTAGGTGACTTAGCAAGGTAATGGTGGAGCTACGATTTAACCTAGCTCCTCTGATACTAAAACCAGCCCTTTTTCCACTATAACACACTACTAGGACAAAAAAAAAAAAAGATACATATAAAAAAAATAATACAAGAACAGGACAGAAATACAAGAAAACAATCAAATGTAATGAGCAATATTTGAGAAAGCACCAAATGAATGGTGCAGACAATAAATACTATGAATTCAGAGGAACAAGAGAAATGAGTCAGCAAGCGTTTATATGACATCTAGCACAGGGGTGGGGAAACCTGGGGCCTTCTAGGCCACACATGGCCCTCTAGGTCCTCAAGTGCGGCCTGTTGACTGAATCCAAATTTCACAGAACAAATCCCTTTAACAAAAGGATTTGCTAGACTCTAGCATGTGCCAGGCACTGTACTTAGTGATAAAGATACAAAGACAAAAAAAAAAAAACAAAACAAAACCTCAAACTGAAATAATCCCTGCCCTCACGAAACTTAAATTCTATGGGGGAGCAAGGGAACAATAACATGTATACAGAAAAGTAAATGAAAAATATACTCAAAGTAAATAAAAGGTGATTTCAGAGCACTGGGGGGAGGGGCACATGAGCAGCTTAGGGGTGTTCAGGGAAGGTCTCCTGAAGGATGTTACTTTTGAAGTAAGTTTTGAAGTAAGCTAAGGTTGCTGAGAAGGGGCAATAGCAAGGGAGTGAATTTCAGGTATGAGGGCCAGAGTGTGCAAAGGCAAGAAGGGAGGTGGAATATCTCCTATGTGATTGAAAAGAGGTCAATTTTGGTTGGAATATAGGGTCTGTGAAGGGGAGTAATTTGTAATAAGTGTACTTAGTATGTATGCTGGAGTCAGTTTATGTAGGGCTTTAAATGCCAAACAGGAGGGCATTGGCCTGGATGGTGTACAGAGTTAAAACTTTAGCCTCTGTGCATCCTCCTCGAGTTGAATTGGGCCTTTTAGGGAGAGTGAGATTTGCATAAAAGTGGGAGGTGGAAGTTTGGAAGGACTTCTTGAGGGAGAGACAGAGAAAAGAGAATATGAACAAAGAAAGATCACACAGACACTACTCCCTGCACAGCAATTTCTACAAATACTAATTAACTCTCACTTTGAACTTCATATGCTTCCAAATATTCTAAAACCTGGCCTTTGTGAAAAGCATATACTTTGCCACTGTAGAAGCAGACTAGGTCTCTACTTAGAATTTTCCTAATACCTGAGATATTTTCTTCAGACACTCATGACTCAGTTGCTAGAATGAGCTAAGGTGGAGAAAGAATTCTTTGCTAATTTAGATAAACAATTAAAATAGTGATACTACTAGGTCTGTAAACCAAAAGAGATTAAAAAAAAACCAAAAAGGCTCTATATGTACAAAAATATTTCTAGCAGCTCTTTTCTGGCGGCAAAGAATTGGAAATTGAGGGAATGCCCATCAATTGGGGAATGGCTGAACAAACTGTGGTATGTGATTCTGCTGGAATACTATTGTGCTATAAGAGATGATGAGCAGTACGCTCTCAGAAAAACCTGGAAAGACTTACATGGGCTGACGCAAAGTGAAATATCCTGTGTATAAAATAACTGCAATATAGTAAGATGATCAGCGGTGAATGACTTAGCTATTCTCAGCAACACAATGATCCAAGACCACTCTGAAGGACTTAGGATGAAAAATGCTATTCATCCCCAGAGAGAAACTGATGGTGTCTGAATACAGACTGAAGGATACTTTTTTAACTTTATTTTTCTGGTTGTAGTGTTTGTTTGGTTTTTTTGGGGGGGGGAAGAGGTCTATGTTTTCTTTCACAACATGAAATGGAAATGTGTTGCATGACTGCACATGTATAACCTATGTCGGATTGCTTGCCTGCAAAATGAACGGGGCTTGGGGAGGAAGGAGGGAATTTGGATTTCAAAGCTTTAAAAAAGGAATGTTAAAATTGTTTTTACATGTAATTGGGGGAAAATAAAATACTAATTTTTTAAAAATAGTGATAAAAATGTAAAAAAAAAAAAGCATTTTTAAAAAACATATTCAAATTCAGCCTAGGCCAGTGGTAGCCGAAAGAATTCAGAACATTGCCTGAGTTCTCGCCTATTAATAACTCTCTTCCTCCCACGGCCAGATAAGCCTGTTTGGAGGCACAAACGGCGGGGATAGTGTACGGGGAGCTTTCTTTTGCCAGGCAAACGCCTGAAATCCTTTATCTTCACTTCTCCCCAAGTCGAAGCCTCTGCCTTGGAAAGCAGCAGTTGTTAAGCAGTCGGGTTACTCTGCGCAACTCCACCTTTACCTGCAGGGCTCTGGAAACGCACGCACCGTTCCCACCCGCAGTGTGCAGCCCGCAGGGCACTCTCCTAGAGTCACTCGTCCCTTGCTGCAGGCAGCACTAGAGCAGATTAACACCCTCGGTGCAGGGGCGGACCCAACCTTCGGGATAGCAAAGGTTGCAGAGGCTGCATGGTCCCAGGCCCTGCGCCCCCTCCAGGGGCCTCCCCTCCCCAATTACAGACCCCATTAGGCATAGTGATATGGGGAAGGTGGTTCCCCGGAGGAGGAGGAGGAGGAGAAGGAGAAGGAAGCAGCGAGGCGGAGCTTGCAAACCAAGGTCCCCTCTCTGGGGACGTCACGGTCCCAGGTGCCCCTGTGGGCGTTTGGGGGAGGAGGAAAAGGGGAAGAGAGGTCAGTGAGCTCTTGCCAGAGCCTTTCCTAACCTCAGCTTATCGGCCCGGCCCGAAGCACCATTATTTTAAGGAGGTGGGACACACCTGGTCACTGCCACCGACCTCGGAGCTAGGAGTGCGCCCCCAGGGAACGCGCCGTAGGCGCCGCAGGAAAAGAGGGCGGTGCCGCCGAGAACCCCGGAGGCAGCTGAGGGCCTGGGAGGGACCTGCCCTGGGGCGGAGCGGGGCTGGGGGCGGTGGTAAGGGACAGGACGGGACGGGTCGGGACGGGACGGGTCGGGACGGGACGGGACAGCCGCCCCGGGCACAGGACGCAGCTGGAGAGGACTCAGCTATGGCTGCGCACCAGGCGCGGGGACCCCGGAGGCTGGGCGCGCTGCTGCTCCTGGTGAGTTGGAGTCCCCCCTGGGGTTTCCTCGGGCTGGTGCACGCCCAGGCCTGCGTCCTAGGCGGAGGGAGGGAGAGCGGCGCCCGGGACCTGTTACTTCCAGCTCAATTGAGCTCATTAGCGAGCTTGCTTGATTGATTAATAACTTGCTGGAGCTTGGTTCCTTCTGCGCGCCCGGAGGCTGGCTAAGGGCTGGGGCGAGATGGTATCTCGGGGAGTGCCCCGGCTGCCCAAAAACGGATCTTCCCGGGCAGGAAAGTGGGAGTCCGGGCTTGTCTGTGCCTCTCCTTGTTCTGTCTTCCCGCCACACCCGGGCCGGGAGCTTCCTAATGCCCGGCTTCTGGAGCCGGGGCTGCCCAGCACCTGGGCGGGCGGACAGAAGCCAGTTCGGTTCTCCTTTCCCCCAGAGGGGGGAAAGGCAGGGCAATTATTAGCCATGGAGCCCCGTCCCTGTCCTTGAGATACATAAAGGAAGCAGTTCCCTATCCTGGAGCTTCATAAAGGAAGCCTTTACCTAGGCTGCCCAAGCCCAGGCAAAGTCAGGGCCGGAGCACTGGGGCCAAAGCCAGATAGTTTGGTTTCAATCAGTTGCACTCAACAAGCATTTATTAAGCTCCTACTACTTTGCAGACACTTGTAGATGGGGGAAGGGGGCCGCGGGAAAGGGGGGAGGAGGATAAAGACAAAAGGAACGGGGCTCTGCCTTCTCCCTTCTTTGAAGGGAGATAAAAGCTATTGCATATTCACACTGTTACTAAAATCTTTATAACTTTAAAATTGTGTTTCATTCCTATCTCAAGAAAGAACAAACAAAAGTTCTTGTTAGTATAAAAAGATAAGAAATATTGAGAAAAGTGATTGAACACAGAGACTAGGACATTTTTTGGATGTTTAATATTTATTAGTTACTACTAAATAAGAACTCACATTCTAGATTTAGGATACAAATAATTTGGTTTTCATAGATTGATTTTTTTTTAATTCCCTCAAAGCAGTGGTCATAGACGACCCCAAGAACCCATATGCTGGTTACCTATGCCATTTTTTAAAAACGGAAATAGCTGGTAATGACAACCCTTTGGGCCTTTCCTAGCACTTTGCTGCTCTGTCCATGTATTTTTGGGTTTTGTTTTGGTTTTTTTTTTGTTCTAGGTATCTTGTTTGTGCCATCCTTCTACTATGTAATATAAGCTCTGTGAGGGCAGGAACCAGTCCCCTAGATTTTGTATCTTCCTCATTGATCCCCTAGAACAATGCTCATTTTAAGGTCAAAGAAAAACAACACTCTACACAGTGAAAAGTCTAGGATTTTTGTTGCTGAGTTGTTTCAGTCATGTCCAGCTTTTCCTGACCTCATTCTTGGCAAAGATACTGGAGTGGTTTTTCACTTCCTTCTCTAGCTCATTTTACAGATGAGATAACAGCGGTAAACAGGGTTAAGTGACTTGTCCAGGGCCACACAGCTAATAAGTATATGAGGTTAGATTTGTACTCAGGAAGATTAGTCTTCCTGACTCCAGACCAGGCACTCTATCCACTGTACCACCTAGCTGCCTCTTAGGCTAGGATTAGGGGTTCTTTAACCTGGAGTCCTATTAACTTGTGGTTTTTTTTTAATATTTTGATAACAAGATTTCAATATAATTGGTTTCCTTTGTAATCCTATGTATTTTATGTACTAAAAGTAATTATCCTAAGAAGGAAGGGGCCCCTGGCCTAGGTGGCCCATGATTCTTAAACTTAGTTTCCATTTTCAAAATTGGAATTGTCTCTCCAAAAAATAGTGCTTAAGAATAAAATATAAAGACAAGGGGAAATAGTTTATTCCTTAAAATGTAAGCTCCTTGAAGTTATACTCATTTCTGATCTCTGCCACTTAGTCCAATGCCTGATATATATTAGACTCTAAATGAATAAGTACTTGTTGAATGAATCTGGTGGAAATAGTCTATTTGGTTTTTACTGTTTAAAAAGTCTGTATATTTTGTATTTATGGCAGATGGTCAAAAAATTTATAAAATATTTTTGCCTGTTTTGTTGAAATCATTTTAGCCAGAAATACATGAATATGAGTGTGGCGGAGTGTTTCCTTTTGAAGGATTCTCTGGTCTCATACAGGGGTAGCTGAAAAGATAAAGGATACTCAACTCCAAATGACTGCAAATATTTGTTTCAGTCAGTTTTGGTAAATAATAAAATTAAATTATTGTTGTTGAGTTGTTTCTAAATCTTCATGACCCCATTTGGCAAAGATACTAGAGTGGTTTGGCATTTCCTTCTGCAAGTCATTTACAGATGAGGAAACTGAGGCAAACAGGGTTGAGTGACTTGCCCAGGGTCACAAAGCCATAAATGTCATAGGTCAGATTTGAACTCAGGAAGATGTCTTCCTGACTCCAGATCCAGTGCTTTATCCACTGTTCCACCTAACTGCCCAAAACTAAATCAGCATTGTTTTATTATATGTTAATAAAACATAAAAATTGTTTTATTATATGTTAATAAAACATAAAAATTGTTTTATTATATGTTAATAAAACAATCTGTTGCTTCCAAATGAATGATACTTAGCTTTTATAAACAACCTTATATTTATTTCTGAAGTAATATGTTTATGTTATATCAACTTACAAAAATTTATTTTTAGAGAAAAAAGCAATGAAATCAAGTCCTACTCATATGATTTAAATTAAATGTATTTGACTGGATTTGACCAATTATCCTCTAAATATCTCTCTCGCTCTCTCTCTCTCTCTGTCCTTGAATTATCGAAGTAATTTCCTCAATTCTTCACCATTATTTCTTGCATTATCCAAACAATTCATCAACCCTCCATTTTACCCATCTTAAAGCCAAAACCTTTGCACATTCAGACATTGTTATAAAATCTTTATGACTTTAAAATTGTGTTTCATTCCTATCTCAAGAAAGAACAAAGCAAACAAAAATTCTTGGTAATGTATAAAGATAGTAAACCTACGGGAAAGCTAAGTGGCAAAGTTGATAGAGCATGGGCCCTGAAGTCAGGAGGACCTGTGTGGCCTCAGACCAAACACTTGACACTTACTAGGTGTGTGACCCTGGGCAAGTCACTTAACCCCAATTGCCTAAAAAAAAAAAAATTAGTAAACATAGAGATTAGTAAGTGAGCATGGTACCTAGGACATTTTTGATGTTTAATGTTTATTAGTTACTACTAATTAAGAAAATACATAATAGTGAACTAATTCAAGGCTTGGGATGAGCCTGCCAAAAGCAAAGTACATACCAGAGGAAAAATGAATGCTTAATTTAACATATTTTTTACTCTAGCAACTCAGGCTTTTCCACTTGTATTGAATTCTTTAATTGTGGAATTTTTAATATGTCGTTTTAAGATGTGTAGTCAGTCAGCTAATTGTGACAAGTAAGTGCTAAACACTAGGGATACAAAGAAAGGAGAAAAAAAATTCCCTGCTCTTAATGGGGGAATAGGAAAATTCTTGGTTTCCCACACTTATTAATTATATCAGCACTCACATGGTCACAGATTTAGAGTGTGAAAGGATCTTAGAAACTACTTAGCCCACCTTTGTTTTACATTTGAGGAAACTGAAGCCCAAGGTGGTGAATGACTTCCCTGGTAGTAAGTAGTTGAGCTGGGGTTTGAAAGTAGGACCTCTGACTTTTACTCCAGAGCTCTTTGCACTGAACACACTGCCTCCTCATTAATTTTTTAAATGCCATATTAATCTAAGAATCTAGATGCTTATTTTTAAGCAGGATTAACTAGCTCATATGTTTTCACATACTAGATTTAGCAACCAAAGTATGACCCGTGGAAAAGAACACTTACTAAAAATCACTGTCTGATGTCCAGGTACAAGCAAGCCTAGCTAAGAACCAAGAGGCTTATCCACTTCAGTTTGGCATAATGGTGATGAATTCTTTAGATTACAAATGATGTTTCAATAAAGCAGAAGGGTTTTTAGTAAGTAGTCATAGGAAATATAATCTACAAAAGGAAATTTTTACCAATTATCATTTAAGCTAAATTTCAAGTTTGTGAAATTACTCCTCCATATAGATGTGTGTATATATGTATATACATATATATGCACAAAATTATATGTACATTCCAGTCCTCAAATAAGTTTCCTGCTGAAATAGCTCATAAATGAAGTTAAAAATAAAATTTTTGGCTAGAATGTTCTCAATGACCTCAGTTCTTAATTTGGCTGATATAGGTTTGTCCTCAATATCTTCAACATGAAAATACCTGTTTAAAATTCAGTGTACAAAAATTGTCTTTTAATGAACGTGTAAAAGTAATATTTGGTTGGTTTCACTAATAATTACTGGCGTTTCATAGCACTTTGAGGATGGTAAAGTAGTTTATCCTTACAACAACCTTGGGAGGTAAGTGATATCCCCATTTTTTAAGATGAGAGGCAACTGAGGCTGACTAAGATTAAGTGACTTGCTCAGGGTCACACAGCTACCAAGTACTCAAACTCAGATTTGAACTTAGTTCTTCTTGACAGCAGGTCCTTGATCTCTAAACATTAATATCGGTATAAACCCTAAAATAATGGCTCATTGGAGATAAATATAATTTAATTTAACCTAGAAATGCACCCTTCATTATTTGTTCATAAGACCACAGATTTCTAGGTGATAAGGACCTGAGAGGCCATAAAGCCCAACTCCCTTATTTCACATAGCCAGTAAGTTTTTGAACACAAGTCTTTCTGCTTCCAAGTCCAAAATTCTTTCATCTGGCAACCCTTAAAAGAAATTACCTGTGAATTCATAATTAGAAAGGATGTTTGTTTTGTTTTATTTTTTAAAGACAATACTAACCTAGTGTAGCTCTGGTGCTTTTTTGATAACAAATATGAGTTGCATAACACATATAAGTTTGTTTCAATAGAGAACTAAGATAGATATTAAATCATAAAAACAAGTTGGTAAAGAATATTATTTTTAGTAATTCTCCAAGTTTTTTTTTTATTTAGTGC